GCCTCCTCAAAGCATCCCACACATTTTCAATGGGGTTTAGATCTGGAGAACGCGCTGACCATACGAGACGTTGAATACCCTCGCTGTCTAGACAATCCTGAACAGCGAGTGTTCGATGACATGTTGCGTTGTCGTCCATAAAAACAAATTTATCACCGACAGCACCACGGAAAAGACGAACATGAGGAAGTAGAACTTCATCAATGTATCGTTGGACCGTCATGGTCCCATTCGCAACCACATGTAGGCGCGTGCGGCCATTGATCATGATGCCGGCCCACACCATGATACTGCATGTCGGATATCGGTCCTTTTCCTGGATATTTTCTGGACGATAAGCAGTACCACTCTCGCGCCAGATCAGTTGGCGTCTACAATCCGACGACAGACTGAACCTACTCTCATCTGAGAATAGTACGCATTCCCCAGTCCTGTTCAGTCCAATTGTGATGCTCACGACACCATTGCAAACGGGCAGTACGGTGCTGTCTGGTAATGGGACACACACAACAGGTCTCCGTGCGTATTCTCCTCCCCTCAAACGTCTGGCAACAGTTTTCGGGAGATCTGCTTTCCTGAGGCAGCAAGAAACTGATTGACCACCTGCTGAGGCTGGTGCGCCTGTTCCTTTTGATAGGACGATATATCTGTCTTCTGCAGGCGTCGTACTTTAACACGACCTCCCCGTGTTATCTACTACACATTCCAGTAGTTTTAAATGACTCCTACAGCCGTGAAACAACGCTGTGAGCGATGTCGAACTCCCTGGCAACATCTGTTATTTTTCGCCCTTCTTCGATCTTTCCAATAATTCGGCCACGCATAAAATCATCTATGTGATGTCGGGAATACATGCCAAAAATTTTAAGTTCGTCTATTAAATCTTTCCTGTAATATTTTGACTTGAAACAACAACTGTCCACACGCGTCAAAACCTTTAAAGCTCTTATGAACGCTATCACGTGATGAACAGACGTGGAAAAAAAATTTGCATACTCATACTTCTTCTTACTAATATCCCGCACTTATTCTAATTTTCCACATTTTGCTTCTTTTCATTTTGTGGTTGCTATGGATGATAGTGTTATCCGTCCTTAGCAATTGTCCAGCAGTGTATATACATATGTATATTCACGTACAGAAAACATTAACAAACACACAAAATTTAGAATTTAAATAATACAGGGAAAAAAGTATGTGTGTACTTATATACGCACGTAAGAAGTTATACTTCTTTGGCGGAACAAGATTAAAATGTTTCTAAAAGTCTTTAGAAGGACAAGGTGGGCCAAGGGTGAAAGGCGATCACGAGCAGAGTTCAATGATACTGACCTTCAGTCAATTGGACCAGAAAAACCTGAGATAATCACGATTTAAATAAATTTAAACACCCCCACACAGGGACTATATGACCAATAACATGAGGGTATCAGACTGTATCTGGAGATGAAGTGAGCCGAATGTGACATATGAGACCTCATATTGAATGTCTCGGCAGGAAGAATCGTTCATGAGAAAATTAAGACATCCACCTGAAGAGCCCCCGAGTTATGGTCATTTTAAAATAATTAAAACATTTAAAACAATTAAATAAAATAGAAGCAGGGCACACAGCAATTCGAAACTTGGCCTGGTTGTGAGCAAACACAAGATGAATCTATTAGAACTAGTCAGGAGTCTGTAGTTGCAAATGGAGCGGATCTAGCTCAGGAAAAGAAAACGAAATTAACTCCCCCTCCGGAGTGGAACAACTGTGTCGTAAATGGTCACGTACATCCCAACGATACATAGAGTAGTAGGTGATCCCAAAGTTACATCCTTCTATCTCTGTAATATCGTTACGTCATCAAAAGATCGAACCCCATAGGAAAAACATGGGATTCTAATTCTATTAATAACGCCCCCTAAGCCCACTATCTACACAAGAATTATAACAGATGAAATAGCTCAACGAGGAGAACCTATGGTCCGAGATTCATTAACAAATCTCAAAAATCCTCGGAGCTATGCGGGATTTAAAAGCAATTATAACTTTAAAATAATTTTAAAATGTTAAATATGGGTAAATAAATGGAGCTGTGGTCCTGAAAAAATATATCTAGGACAGTGGTTCTCAAACTTTCACTACTGGCGACCCAATTTTCAAACATAATTTTTATCGCACCCCCTCCAAATAATTATGAATTGAATGTAATAATAATAGACTATGGGGCCGCTAAAGCTACAATACGATAAAAATTATAAACCGTACAAATTAACAAGATAAAAATAACATTTTGCATATGTTACTTTTAAGTAATATATATTTCTATTTTTTCCCTTTTTGGTTTGATTCACTATAAAAGCGCGTTTTTTAGTTTTTTTTAAAACTAAAATTCATTTTATAATTATTTTTATTATACATGATAAAAATCACAATTTCGGAGAATAATTTAATTAAGAGAAAATATACTTACCTACTTTGAAGGACTTTTCAATTTTTCTTTGATAATTTGAGAAAAAACCCAATAAAACTAAAGAAAATGTTCCAAATGTTCGTGACTTTAATAAAGGACATAAATCACGGACACTTTTCGCTAACAATACAGGAACGTTATTTTCCAGCAAAACTGTCATATTTTGTTCACGTTATTGAAGTTTCGTTGTCGTTTGATGTTCTACCAAAATATCATTTCGAAGTTTTTCTTCCTTGTGTCTTTTTGACAAGGCAAATTGCTACCTTTAAGAATTCATAGTTTTCTTCATAGAGTTCTTAAGGCAGCATTTGAAAACTTCAATTGAACTCAAACGCTTCATGTGTATCACTTTTCTCATATTTACTTTCGCTATCTTGATTAATATGCATTATTTCAGCAGGTTCTTCAATTGCTTGAAAAGTTTCAACTTCCTTCAATAGAGATCACAGATGCCAATGTTTTTATATTCTGCTCATTTACATTTATACACCAAAATAAGGCCGCGGACAACCTAGCAATCAGAACCACAAGTTGTTCTTAGGGAAAAGTGTAGCATGTTCGTAGAAAATATTTTTGAACAAAAGCGGTTGCACAGGGAATTCGATCAAAACAAGTACCTTGATTGTAAAAAACGTTTGCAACTCTTAAAAAAGGGGCATATTTGTGACAAATTCAGTTTAGTTCCCATTAAGACTGTCAAATAGGAGGATACTGTCAAGGTCACTGTTAAAAAATAAACAGTTTTCCCAGAATTAACGATTTCGTGAGCCTGGGTTGACTCAGCGCCTCATGCGACCGCTCCCATTTTAAAAGTATATTCAATTTAAAATATCGGTGTCAGTTCTAAGAAATAATTGTGTAAAACGCTTTTCATTATGCGTTATATGCTTCAGAATACTCTTAAAAATACGCCTTGGCCAAATAATCCTTCAAAGTGCTCAATAGGCTTATCCATATATCATTAAACTCATTCACATGGAAAAAAAAGCAATAGAAAAGTATTATTTACAACTTTCCTAAAAGAAAAAGTGACGGAGTGAAACATACCATTAAGTTTGAAGGTAAAATACATATTAATCAAAAGTAGTATTTTAAAGGTTAAAAGAAACGTAATAAAAAAATCTCTCATCGTGGGGTTACAGCAAAGCAAACAAAATGTCTTATTTTAATTGGTTATAGGATCAAAGAAAGCTAATGAGCGTTTGAAGTGGAATCTTTTATTTTTGATGATCACGAGATGATATATATAAATTATATCAGTGTAACTGTGAATTTTTTTATTATGTCAGAAAGCATTTTGTTTTACTTCATTCCAAAAAATTATTTCTTAAACCTTTAATTTTCGATATGCTCGCGACGCCCTCGCAGGGTTATCGTGCCCCTCGGGGGAGGGGCACCGTACAGTTTGAGAAACACTGATCTAGGATGCTCATAGGAAAAGAAATAGAATCCAGCCGATGTGGTCGACCAAGGTGGAATAGGATTCGAGTTATTTCTGGGGAAGCCCTGTAGGGGGTGAGGGGGCCAATTCTACGTTAAGCTCGCTCTAATACGAAAATATGGCGGACCTCCAAAAATCAAGTTCCAAGCTCAATTACTTAGGGGGTGAATTGTTTTCAGTCCCCATAGGGTTAACATGGTAGCATGATATTTTAGTGCTTAAGCCCTCTCCATTGAATGGTCCCCTCCAAATGAGAATGAAGCAGATGACTGGATGGGTCTCGACGAGTTGAAAACTTGGTTCGAATCTTAAGTCTGAGACTCGAACAGGAGCCATGATATTGTGAATTTAAAAAATTTTTTAAAAAGTTTAAGACAATTAAAATAAAAAGCAAGGAAATAAATAGCTCTATGAGCATGAAATTATAATAACTGAAAGAGCAAATAGAAAGGATTCGAATGAGCCAGGTCCTATTGGACTCTGAGGCTTGGGTGCCGAGATATTGGCCAAAAAGCTGTAGAGGGTTGAATTCATACGGGGGATGCGTCCCAACAGATATAGTTTATAACAATAGTTATTATGATCCGCGAAATATCAGTCCCATAGCAACAAACAAGTGGCATGTTAAAATATTAGATAACTGTGTTCGCGTGCGCATCGGAGTCGTGAAGGTTTGCGCATGCATCCGTGACGGTATGCGCGCGCATCGTAAAAATTTACCCTCATCCTTTTTCTCTCTAACATCAAAAAGAAAGATTACTTCAAAAATTAATATACGAATACAAAAGGCTCTTATAATTTTCTACAATGTAATAAATGTGTTTATGCTCATCGCAATGCGTTCGTAGTAAATGCATCTATAATAATACACTTGCAATTGTTATTTCCATAAGTAAATTAATATTTACTCTTATGTTTTATGCACAGGAAACACAATTTAAAGATTAATATACTAATTTTTTAAAAATTTTCTGCAAGTATGCTTGGTTTAATAACAAAAAGTGTTCAAACAAATGCATCTGAGATGATCCGTAGGCGAAGGACGGTCTCTCCCTACTAGTAGTGACTCACAAATCAGTGCAAAGCACAAGTTCGCAGACAATGAGGGTATAGCTCAGTGGTAAAGCATTCGACTGCAGATCGAGGGGTCCCCGATTCAATCCCGGGAGTCCTCTTCTTCAGGAAAGTGAAGAGGGAATTTTTTTTTAGAATTTCCAAGACGACAGTGATCTGTCCCGTTCTGTATATTTTTAGACAAATCATTTTCGTATCCGTTCCTACGGAACGCAAAGCAAAGGTTCGCTTATACGGGTGTATAGCTCAGCGGTAAAGTATTCGATAGCAGTTTGAGCGGTCTCCTGTTCATATCCGCTTATCCCCTTCTTCAGAGAAGTGAAGAGAAATACTTTTCTGAGAATTTCAAAGGCAGCAATGATCTGTAACGTTCTGAATATTTCAGGAGAAATTATTTTCACATTCATGACGGTGTGCGCGTGCATCGTAAAAATTCACCCTCATCCTATTTCTCGAACGCCCCAAGAGAAGTATAACTTCAAAAATACTATTAATGTATGCACAAAACGATGTAAAAGATGATTTGCCTTGAACAAAGGCAGAAAAAGGAGGAGGCCATACTATGTTGTTCTTTTGTAGGGAATTCAAGAGTGTACGTCTTTCCGAAGAGAATTTAGGACAAGCAAGAATCAGATGCTTGGCATTCTGGATTGTGTCACTGGAGCAAGAACACTGGTCAGTAGGCGACAAATTGAAGCGCTTTAAATTGGCGAATACATTTTTTTACACTTTCAATCGATTTAAAATAAAAGCGTGTTTTTTAGTTTTTTCAAACTATGATTTTTTTAAAATTTTTTAGTTCGATCCACATTAAAAGCATGTATTTTTAGTTTTTTGAACTATAATTTATTCATACACTTTTTTTTTTTAAATTTTTGGCCCGCGACCGAAAAAGTTTGTCCATCCCTGAGTTAGAAAAAAAAAATTCTTTTTTTCTCACATGCACGAGTCTTTTTTTATTCCTATTTTCAGAAAGACTGGACAATTGCTTATATTATGATAAGAAATTGCTGAAGGAAAAAAGCGCGTTTTAGCTGTTAAGGTTACTTCTAATCTTTTCGTCGCCAAATCTGAACATGTGAAATGGAACCTTTTGCCAAATCTGGAAATGGTATAATGAATTAGTCGCCAAATATGGAAGTCGTTATTCCTGATTATCCTGTTCAGGACAATGGAACAAAATAATGAAATAATTGTATTGTCATTGGTCCTTGACATGTGTGTGAGTTCGAGCCCAGTACCACTAAAGACCCACCGTGTAGGGGAGCGATGCTCGTTAGATCTGTCGAGAGCTCAAAACGTCCTCCGGTTGGTGTGATGTGGTAGTAAGGAGAGGGGGTTGCCAGCTCAGATGTCGTCCACGTCACTTGACCATGGTTCAAAATTACATGGTACATCGCCAAAAGCCCTTGTGTTGCTGAGCAGTGCAATGTTAATATTCACTCACTCACTCACCCTTGCCAAGTGAGCAAAATTTCGAATTAATCTGACGTTTTAAAGTTTGCAAAAATAGAGTTCAAAGATTCCATTACATGCCAGTGAAGCTTATAAAAGCGTGTGTCAATTAGCTCTCCACCCATGAAATGGTCGCTCCTCCACTGTTATTTGTTATCAGTAACCGTTACAATTGCAAAAAGAAAAAAAAAGATGTTATCTCGCAATTCGTACCAGCAAGACATTGATAGGAAAATTGATATATTTGATTGATAGAATTTTTCGATAAATTTTTGGTGCATTGTTGTCAAATAATTTAATTTATTAATGCAGCGGGCTATGGTCGGACCCCTCAGAAAGGTCCGGTGGGCCACATGCGGGCCCGCAAGTTGAGTATCGTTGCTATAGCTGAAGCATACAAAAGCAGAATTTATAACATGAACCACATATTAGAATTTAGAAAAGATATTAAAAATTATAAAAATAAAATATAAATTAATATATATATATATATGGATGCTGCAGTATTATATATAAACATTGCTGACTTAGGACAGCTCTTATATATAAAATGATTTATACTAAAGTGGGGTTTAACATGTTTTCTGGCCAGCCAGCCTTCTTCCCCCTTTCTGTTGATGTGAAGTGAATGTGAGTTTTAATGGCGCAAGGGCCAATTTTGGCCAAGCTGCGCCAAACACATGTTAAAAGAAGATGTCATTTTTAAAAAAATATATAAGTAGAAAAGTATATGCCCTTTCTGTTGATAATACTGAGCGAAATCTTATTGAAAATAATGGTTAGAATATATAAATCCATTACAAGAAAAAGGTAACTTACCTAAAATTGCATTGAAAAAGGCATATATATGTATATATCAAATATGAAAAGAGTATTGCAAGAAAAGTCAACCACTGCAATGTTTTTCACTTATGTATTTCTTACCCTAATAGAAAAATTTTGCAATTTATTTCTCGCAAGTAATTTCAGAACAATAATTTTATAAGAAATCTTGTTATGTCTGTAGATTTTATTTCCACGCGAATTGAAATGTAATCAGATGCCAATGATTCTCAGAATTGGAATTAAAGAATAGGTAGGGCAGAAGAAAAGAAATCACGTAAATCTATCAATTCAGTATTGATTTTATTTTTCATGAACTGTTTTTCTTGGAAAAGCTACAAAAAACTTCGCGCGCGCGCGATATCTGGATCTTCCTAGTAAAAATACTCTTCTCTAACAAAAAAAAAAAAAAAAAAAATAGGAATTAACACAGTTGTCTGATATTAAATTTTTCCGCAGCCTTATAAAGGATAAATTAGTGATTTATTGAATTTAAAATGCATGGAAAATCTAATTGTAAGTTGTTTCTGTAATTCATAACCTTCAAATATTATTTAAAAATTTAGAAAAAAAGCACTAATTTTACAGTATTTTTTTATACATATAATTACATTCTGAGTTCATGCTGAAAATTTTTAAGTTATCTGACTACAGTTGGAACCGCGATTTAAAAAAAAACGTATAAATAAATAATTGTTATGATATTTCAAGTCACTTGGATTAGAATACACGCATAAGATTATTTTAAGAATATTATCAGAATAAAAAAATTACTTAAATTCAATATTTTGGCAAAAAATGAACTTAGAATGACCTTATTTTAAAATGTTCTCCTTTTATAAAAAATACTTCTATCTATAATAATAATAATTTTACTTATATAAAGTAAAGACTTCTCCACAGAGTCTGAACTAGGATTTTTGAAATTTTATTTAAAGAGTTACCACCAATTCAAATAATGATTGGTGTTTTTTTCTTAACATTTCTTTCCTCTGTTGTAGTTAAATATGGATAAATCCACTTCTAAATTATATATTTCAAAAATTCTAGTTCAGCCTCTGTACAGAGGTCTGAGCTATATGTCGGCGAAATATTATTATAATAGAAGTATTTCCCATAAAAGGCGAATGCTTTGAAAATAGGTCATTCTGTGCTCATTTTTTGCCAAAACATTCCATTTAGATGATTATTTATACTAATAATATAAAAAAAATTTCATACATGTATTCTAATCTAAGTGACACTAAATATCATAAAAATTATCCAATTATACACTTTTGCAAAATAACAGTTCCGAACGCAGTCGGATACCTTATGTAGAGAAAAATTTCTTGATGTTCATACAAACAGTACTTTTATAAGTTATACCTTGATTTTAAAATAAGTTCAAAAATAACTTATAAATTGCTATCTCTTGAAATATACATTACAGTTTATTAAATGAATACTAGGAAAATATGAATCAATCTGATAGTTTAAAAGGAGGACTCATAAAAAAAAACTCAAAAAATGGATTTGCAGGAATACCCATTATTTTCTTGAAAATGAACTAAAAATGTAACAATAGAGATGGAAGGATACAAAAAAAACTTAGGTTGAAGTTTTCAAATTACATTAAAAATTTTTTTTATGTGAACTGCAAATTAAGACTCCAAGGAAAGAATAATCCCCAGTTAAGTGATTGCATAGATATACCTAAAATACCCTATCTTTTTTTCTGTGAAAGAAGGAACATAATAAAGGTAAAAGAGACGACAAAAAATATTAAGAGGGAAGTTCAAAATGGATTTGTTTTTATTAATTATTGGTAAGCCAAAATAATAAATCAGCATGAAATTAAAAATATTAATTTCAATAAAAATTTCAAGCAATCACTTGTGGATATATAATATTTTTTGATTTTACATTTGGTGTGTAGGTTTTTAGATTACCAACAAGGGGACATCTTTGGTCTGAAATTAAGAGTGGTTATTTTACATTGTCTACAATTTTTTGCTTTCACCTCTGAATATCAATGAAAAAAGCCTATTCATCTAAATCTCAGCGATACTCAACCTGCGGCCCACCGGATCGCGTTGCACTAACAAACCCAATTATTTAAGAACAATGCATTAGCAATTTAGCGAGAAATTATATCAATCAAGTAATCACATATATAAATTTTGCTATCAATGTCGTGTTGGTACGAATTGCGAGATAACCCTTTTTTTCTCTTTTATATTTGTAACGGTTAGTGATAATAAATAACAGTAGAGTAATGATATATATATATATATATATATATATATATATATATATATATATATATATATATATATATATATATGCAGCCGCAAATAGAAAAGTACATATAATCCAAAATATAAAAATACACAGATAGTTATTGAACCTAAGATAGCTATACTAAATAGGAAGAAATAGGCACAGTAGTACACTACCAAACTCCTGGCCTTCGGAATCAGTAAATGGGTCCGGCTGTCAAGAGAAATGGCACCCCAGACCATAACGCCTGGTTGAGAGTCTGTGTGGCGTGCAATAGTGAAAGCAGGATCGGTGCGCTGCCCTGACACGTCCTCGACAATTGTCAGGACACAGTTGGAAGCGGGATTCGTCGCTAAACACTATACGTCCCCAGTATTCGTGATTCCAACCTGTTCGAGCCAATTGCCACTGTAATCTGGCTCGACAGTTTGCAGGTGTGAGTGGCAGTTGGCGTAGGTATGAGCTTAAACTTCGCGCTATCAACCGTCTGTGAATGATCATGATGGACACTCGTGTGCGGGTCGCACGTCTATTGGTTGATAACGAAAAATCAGGCGCTGCG